CAATATATTTCAAGTTGTTTCGATATACTCTCTCCGTCCCATAATTATTGTCCAGTTTGAGCTTTATTTTTTGTTCATATTGTACTAAAAATGAAATCTCAAACTGAACAATAATTTTAGGACAGAGGGAGTATATGCCAAGAATTCTATGACTGATCAAGCAAACATGAAACTCTTTGCAAGGATTCGAACCATTAACCTCAATTTTTTTTCCTTAAATTTTATGAAATTATTCTAGACATCATGAATTGATAAATTTCCATTGCTGAAGAAACAAAAATGTAAAACAGGCAGATATCCAGCAAACACATTTAAACCTTGGGCTACCATAATACGATTCCGTATTTCATGTTCTGACTTGTGATTCGATTCTCAAGACTCCAAAACCACAACCCACCGTCATTCGTGAAGTTCAAAGGTTTTAAGGGTTTCCCACGTCCGAGGTTGGCAACTAATCACCCAACCATTTTCCAATGAATTTTTGTCATTCTTCTTTATAAGACCATACTTAATTTCCTTATAATTGTCATCCAATATGTCCATGTATTCACTGTCCACAAATCTCTTGCTTCACAAGCTAGATTAGCTAGACCTAATGATCGATTAAATTGTCATTTAAATTTTATGTAGTAACTTCTTCCATTCCGAACTTTATTGTCCAATTTGAATTCTCCCTTTTAACTTAAATTGTACTAAAATTAAAAATTTAAATTGAACAATATTTTTATGACAAAGGGAGTATTTGATCGCGAACAATACGATAACATTTCTGTATTTTGAGAAGATTATTTCTCCCAATGAATGGCATCAACCAAATTTTCTCTTTCCATATCCTGTCTTTTGTGCTCTTGAATTATGATCATGATTCATAATTCTTAAACTCAAAAACGTGACTCCGAATACATATTGGAGGGGATGATGATAACTACGTAACTGGTCCCAAAGTCAAATTGATGCAAGACGAACTTTAAAAAAAAAAAAAATGGCTTCACCTTTTTCCAGTCACATGATTTGTCGCAACATTCAAATATATAGTACATCTTACAATAAATCCGAATTCAATTATCCACACTCTTTCTTTTTTTTTTTCTTTTTCTTTTTTGCCATGATGCTTCCTGCTTTTGTTTTGTGGACACGATCAATTTTGTGGTCGATGAACCAGAAGCAACGCAAGATGTGGTATTGATTGTTCAACAATCTTTTTCCAGCTTAACTCCGGCCTCTTTCTGTGTTATTGTGTACGTCTCGATCTTCATCCAGATTTTTTCCTTTGTTTTTTTTCGTCTTTAAAATGTGTTTTTTTTACCAAGAACTCCAAAGCTGCGCCTTTAGATTCAGGTCGGTGTGGAAGTTGGTTGGCCTCGAAAATTTTTGTGGTTACGATTATTATTTTTATTATTATTGTTTGGCAAGGAAAATCCATCTCATAAACTAATTGGAAAATCTCACATAGGATTAAATTGATATTCAAAAGTTTGATAGACTGAATCAAACGATTTCGCTTGCGTGCAAGAAACTGTGTAAAATAAGCGAACGGCGTCCTTAATTTTTTTTTATTGATAATTAATAAAATGTGGAAGCGTTAGCTTACAAATTGCATGATAATTTATAGGACTACATAATAACGTAGCCTATAAGATATAAATAGCTTAACGATTATGAAGATACACATTTCTGTTGGACCAAAAAGTAGGTGCCAAAGTGCCAACACAATTTTTTGCGTCAACTACCAATCGAAAACAAACCAATTGATGTTTTCACTCGATGGAGCTTTGAAGGGTAGATTTGGTAGTTAAAAGAAAAGCTGCTTTGGTATTTATTTTTGGGGAATATTAGAGTATAAATCCCAACGTTTATACCTTGCTAGCGAATTCATTCCAAAGTTTTAGAATTGGTTAATTATGTTCCAATATTATCAAAATTGAGTAGATCCATCCTATGACCTCCAAACCAACAAAAGTAACCTGGTATAACATATATATTCATTTGGATTCCATATTTAACATTTTTATTTCTGTTTTTTGAATTTTTAAAATTTTTTTAGTTCATTGAAACAAAAACAACATTTATAAATGGAGAAACTAAAAACTTTAATTTATTTTCAATGAATCTAATTTATTTTATAATCATATTCATCTTAATTTTTCGATAAAACTTAAAGAAACTTTTCAAAAAAAAATTCTTTATTTTGAGTGAAAAATAGAATGATTATGCTTTCACACACACAGATATATATATATATATATATGTATGAATATATATATATATATATGTATATACATTTATATATATCTTGTATTCAAAAATTAATTAATTTTGAGTTTATCCAAAATTTTAAATTATTTCATTTGTGATGCTTAAATTATTTTGATTAATTAAGTAAGTTTTTTTCGAGTTTTTTTAATCTAGAAATTTTTTTATTTTTTTAATGAACTAAAAAATGACAAAAAAAAGAGAAAAAAAGAATAAATATGAGATCTAATAGATTTTTACCTGTTATATCAGGTCATTTTTTGCTGTTTTACAGGTCATGGGATGTATCTGCTCAATTTCAATAACCTTAGGACGTAATTGATCAATTTTAAAACATTGGAATGGATTAGCACACTGATGTAAACATTCACCTTTTTTTTTGCATTAACTTATTTTTCTTCCTAATCGGGTAATCTTAACAAAGGGGGAAAACGTACTTAGGTTTGCATATCAAAATTCTCAACCTCGTCACTTTTCAAAACCCCAATCACCAATCTTCATCCTCCTTCTATCCTAACATGATTAATCTATTTAGATTTTCACTTTAATAAAAATTATACTAGAAATAATAATTGGACAATCATTTCAAAGCGGAAGGATTTTTTTTCTCTATATTTACGAATATGCATTAGCACTTCTATCTTGTATTTCAATGCGTAATACTCTCTCTATTATAAACTAGTTGTCTTTCTACGATTTTCATGACCAAAGAAGCACTAAATAAATTAGTTTAAATATAAAACCACCTTTGTGTATTATAGATACAATTAGTTACAATATTGATAAGCACCAATACAATTTTATCATAATCCAAACTATTATATTTCCTATAAAAGGAAATGTTAGGGGAAAAAAATGTATGCTAATTCGAATTTGTAAAACGCACAAGTACTTTAAAATTTTTATAATTTTCTAAAACTACATATATTTCAAAATGAAGACGGTATATATCAAGGGAATATGCTTTTTTGTTTCAATATTTTCCTTAAATGATTTGTATGTAACCTGCGACTAATTAAGAAGTTAGTTCATGAATCAAAGAAAATGAAATAAATTGTAGCCGAAAAAACAAAAGAGAAAAGAAATTGCAATAAATAGTTAGATTTACTCTGCTAAAAACAGAAACGTTTTACCTTATCTAAAACAGAATGGATTAAGGGAATTATAATGTAAACTGTGGCATTCAAGAGTTTCTGTGTATAGACGATATTTAAATTCTATAAGAAGAAAAAAGTGTAACGGGCGGTAATGTCCAAACGCATTAATTGGATAATAACTAGTGAGTTTTATTTAACAAAAAATTTAAAAACTTGGATTAATTGGAAAAAAATATCACCGCTAACTAATGTTATGTTTGGATTAAAAAATATATTTAAAAATACGTAAATTATGTCTAGATGCCTATGGCCTATTTATAGGCAATGGGACTTTGGGGATTAGACACAATTAATCGTCCTTAAAATGTAAAATCGATAAACTTGACAACTAAGTAGCACATAAATGGAATTTTAAGGGCCAAAATGACAATAAATTAAAAGTTTAAACTCGTTAATGAAAGGACTTTTTAAGTCGGGGGTTTCTCAGCAATTTTTAAAAATATTCATTTTCAAGCTCACAATCATGAATTTGTAATATCTGTAAAAATCTTATATAGTAAATAATTTCTAAATTATTCACATAAAATTTTAACTGATTATAAGATTTTAACTGATAAATGATTAACAAATTAGCAAATGACACGTGTTAATTGAGGATTCATGGTCTCAATAAATGACACATGTCGATTATATTTCTTTCCTTTAATATATATAATGATTTGACCGGTCTCAAATAATAATTAAGAGTTACATTAGACCTAAATGTACTAGAATTTCTCGGTATGTTCGTCCTTCAAAAAAAAAAAGTCACTTAAAATTTCTTAAAAACATATTACGCTTTCTTCATTAACTTTCTCATTTTCAATACAATGTCTGAAATACATTTCAAAAATTAAACCAAAATGAAGAGAACTTGAACAAAAAGATGTGAGAATGGGTTGAGTAGAATGATTAGTGATGAATATTATAGTCATTACACAATACACATCGTCTTTGAATTTTTTTTTTTAATTTTTAGTTTCAATTATTGTTGTTGTTAATTTATTCATTTCTGGTGTAATTTTGGACATTATAAAACAAAAATGTTGTCGATGGAATTGGAAGAATAGTACTGTGTGACTATGCGGTGGATCAGCCGTCGACAACAAAACAGAGTCAGGCTGATGTGGTTGCCATTTTAACCTTATCCATAATTTCCATTCTCAGAATTCCAATAACCAAAAGCCTGGGGCCCCAGCACAGTCAGCAACCCGGTGAATCAGAAAAGTGGGGACACGGTAACTCATCAAGGTAAACAAAACACATGAAATGAAACAAACTGACTCATCAGGATCAGATAAAAATATATTATCTTAATCCGATAATATTTACCTCTCTCTTCCTTTTAACATGTGACCTCTCCAAAATAAAAGCCAACCAATTTTTTATTTAAAAAAAAACAAAATATTAATTTAATTTAATTTTTTTTTTTAAAAAAACAAATCCTATAAACCAGCCTCATCCTTCTCAAACAATGGCTTACTCATATCCACTCAACCAAATCCAGTATCATTTAATTCGCTCTCATGCCAAATTCCAAAATCTGCAGTAATTACAGTTTCGTTTTTTTACATTTTTGCCAAAGGGTTTTTTTTTTTGTGGATAAAGGTGAAAAAAAAAAAAAAAAAGAAATCTTTGCTATCCATTTCAATGGATTGATTGACCCCACAAAACTCTCCCCTTTTTTACACTTTTCCCTTTTTATACTCCATTATTTGAGAAATTTTTATTCGCCACAAATTTTGCCTCCAGCTTAAATCTTGCTCCCTTTTCCTCCTTCATCCTTGTTCGGCGATCTTTCTCCCATTGGTGTCATTTAAGATTTGGAGTTGTCATAAAAGGAGAAATTTTTTTTGGCTTCCTGGGGTAATTCTGAAATCTGGGATTTGTTTCATAAAGGAGGTGTCTTTTATCTTTGGATATTGCTTGGATTTCGAGTCTATTTGATTCTGGGTTATTGAAAAGATATCTTCTTGGATCGAAGATACGATTTGGGTTCCTGGGTTTTTCATTTCTTGTTCATGTTATAGGGTAGAAATTTTTCATTCACCCGGATTGTAAGAATGGCTTGTTTGTTGAAGACTGGTGTTCCTGTTTACGGTTCAACCGATGTCGTTTTGGGTCGTGGTGCTAAGGGTCCTCCTACGCGTTGTTCCGGGGCTCTGCAATTCGTGGATTCAAGATCGAAAGAATTTATGGGCAAACAGTTAGATTTGTCATTCCAGAATTTAAGCAATTGGGATGCTAAAACTCGTTCAAGTTTTTGCGTTAAGGTATGAATCGCGTCCTAGATTTTTTGTCAATTAGTGGTGTTTGTGTCTTGAGGTTGAAAATGGTTTAATTTTTCTTATCATCCTGAACAATTAAGAATCAATTTTCGAAATGGTTAAATGTTTGCTTCTTTGTTTGAATTATTTTAGGCACAAGCATCAATTTGTGTTAGCAGAGCTATGAGATGGTGGGAGAAGAAATTAGCGCCCAATATGGTTGAGATTCATTCTGCGCCGGAACTTGTAGACTCATTGTTGAATGCCGGTGACAGATTAGTTATAGTTGACTTTTATTCCCCTGGTTGTGGAGGTTGCAAAGCGTTGCATCCCAAGGTATAAATTGAAAGAAATGACTTTTATTTCTTGTTAGATTTTGCATAATTTTTTAGTAATTGTTATTCTTCATTTTGAGATGCTTGATTCCTGAAGGATATTGTTTCTTTCCTTTTGAGTTTTGAATGTTTTGTTGGATCTATCAGCAGCAGCCATCTGAATGAAAGTTTTCGGTTTTTTTTTTTTTTTTTGGTGTTATTAGATCTGTCAACTGGCTGAATCCAACCCAAATGCAATATTCCTCAAGGTGAATTATGAAGAACTCAAGACAATGTGCCATAGTCTACACATACATGTCCTGCCATTCTTTAGGTTCTATAGAGGTGCAGAGGGAAGGCTATGTAGTTTCAGTTGTACCAATGCAACGGTAAGAATCTTTATCGGATTTAAATCGTTATCCTTAAACTGAAAACCAATGTCGAAAGAAAATAAGCCTCATTAGTTATGTATGGTTGTATTGTTTCTGATCTGTAATTCTCTGGTTCTGCAGATCAAGAAGTTCAAAGATGCATTAGCAAAATATGGTTCTGATCGATGTAGTCTTGGTCCTGCAAGAGGACTAGAAGAATCCGAAATATCTGCATTGGTTTCAGCTGGTGAATTATCAAGAAGCTTGCTATTGGATCACAATAAGGAAGATAAGATCAAGATGGAAGATCTTGTCTTAAATGGTAATCCGGTTCGAGATGAAATTAGTAAGAAGATTGGATTGAATGAAGGCAGAGCTGTTGTGTTGGCCTAATCTTAATGATAAAATTGGATTATAGTTAGGAGTAGATGATTATCTCCACCATTTAATTCAAATTTAGGATGGTTTGCCTTATCCATTGATGTACATAAATTTGTTCAGGTGTTTGCCATATAAAAGCAGGCTCTGGGTTTTTTTGTTAGGATAAGCCCTGCAAAATTGGTCAATCCCTTCTTGGATCATTTGATGTTAGGATAGGATTAATCCTAATTCATTTATCTTTCCAGCAATTGTCACATTATCTTCTCCCTTTTTATCTTTGAAAATCTTTGTTGCAGATTGTTGCATTATCTGTACCATTAGTGATTACGTATTAGTCTTCCAGTTTTCTGGATCAGTTGATAATTTTATTGGTTTCCATTGTTTTCCGACCGCCGTTTTTGGAACTGAAAAGATCTTGAATATTAACGTGTTAAGATTGTCTTAAACTTAAACTTAAGCATTGATTCTGTCACGTTGCTATTAGCATGCCATACAGCATCTCTAATGTATATTATGCCATTTTTGCCAGTTCCAGTTCTAGGTAAACCACAAACACCCCAAAAAAGAAAAACCAGCTATAAAAAGTAAGAACCAAAAAAAAATCATTTCCGATTAATTTAAAGGACAGTAGCTAAAACATATCCACAGTGGGAACAATTTTACCGTTGAAGGTACGAAGCAGAATAAGTTGCACGAAAGTGAAGACTGCTAATTAACTTCTCAACTGAAGAACAAAAAAAACTTTTTAACTTTTATATTTTTTTAACTTTTGTTGTTTTAAAAAAAAAAAAAAAAACTTTTCAACTGAAGAACAAATTGAGATACTCCATTCTCTCCTCAGACAGTATGAGCAGAGAGCTACACGATTGTTTCCTTACAAAAACTCATGATTTGGAAAGACTTGAAGGCATTAAAGGGATGAGAAAGCAACTGATGAATATAGGTCTGGATATTTTACCCGGATCGAAATGAAATAACTGTTGCACTGGGATCTAACTTCTGAAGAACCCTATCAGAAACATTGTCTTCCCGACGAATTAACTTCCATAACACAACTGAGATATCTATGATCAAACCAAAATCTTGCTTAATCATTTCTTCAAGATAAATAGCAATATCATCGTATCTACGTAACTTAACAAGTACTTTCAAAATGATATTGGAAGTAGTTTCATTTGGCTCGCACCCACTTTCTTCCATTGCGACGAAAAGTTGTTGAGCATCCTCCAGTAGACCTTTCATGTACAGGCCATTCATCAAATTGTTGAATGTTCCTGCATCAGAATACAATCCCTTCTTTGGTCCCATGCGATGATAAGTTCCCATCTTCCACACAAACTGTCAGTAATGGATCATCTCCAAAGTTCACCAATTCAGTCAATAACTTCTTGACCTCGCCGGATCCCCCTAATTTACACATACCTCTGATCACGACTACATAAGTGCAATCTGTCGGTACATTGCCTTTCGCATTCATCTCACGTAGGAGACCGAATGACCAATAGCTGGATCAATCATGTCATCCGCGCACAAGGAAACAATAAGGTCCTATAGATGTACATGTCTCAGGTTCAATATCTTCATTCTCCATGGCTCTGAAGACCTCATTACCTCAAAGCTTCTGTAGTGTTCCCAGCCTCAGACTCAGAGAGCCTTTCGATCAAAACCTCAAATGCCTCAAACATTGAAAGTGGTCTGCTCCACACATGTCTTCATATCTAATTGTATTGAATAAGTGTTTTGCTTCAAGGATCCAGTGTTGTTCAAAGAGTGCCTTTAGTAAGACGGCGAAGATGGAGACGTCGAAGACAACTATTCCGCGCATTGACCCTTGCTCCTAGCATAGACAATACCAAATCCACTCTTACCTTCCAAGCAGTAACATTTACATGTCTTTGAAAATGGTAATGGCACCCGCATAACTTTTGATATCGATTAGAATATGAAGTATACTACTGAAAAGTCTGAAATCAAACGCAAAAGGATAAGTCATCCAGACCATCCGATTGTAAACATTAAAAGTTGATACTGAATATTTCATCACTCAAACAACGGATTGGAGCATAAGAATGAAACCTGAAGGCGAGATTTGGAAACAGAAGTGGATGACAAGGGAAAGGAAGAGCAGCCACAACATTTGATGAGAATGATTTGAGGATAATGTGAGGCATAATAATGGTACCATAACCAAACACTCTTCTTTCCGCCGCCATGAACATCATCATCTCCTGAAAACCAAATGGTTTGGAAATGGGATCAATCTCAAACTAGGAAGCAACAAGATGAACTCCTGTCAGAATAAGAACATTCCCGTTCATTTCAACAAGTAATTCAAGTAATATCAATTGGGTATGCAGAGAAAACAGAGAAACTTATGTGGCCTGAAAAATCTAATCCCTTTTGGGATCGTTTCGGCCGGGGAAAGTTCAGCCGTTGTGCTTTGAAGTTTGAATATGCAACACCCTTTATGAGAAATTTCATTGATAGGCATCCAAAATATAAATCCCAATCGAAAATCTCAATCTTTGGGGGAACAGTGAAGAATAACAACTGAAAATTAAAACAGAGAGGATACAGAGATGATAGAAGAGATTGAATTAATTGGGTTTATATTGTGTGTAAGATGGCTTAGAAACTACAAATCTATCTCCATATCCATACAAAGAAGAAGTAAAGATCAGTCTTAACAAAATTCTGCGAGGCTCAATAATGCCAAAGATTTCTCTTTTCTTGTGTCCAGCAGCAAACCAGGATGAAGCTGAAATTGCTGAACCCGAAACAGAATTAGATTAATTTTATTCCAGGAAGATACACTGGAGAAAACATCTTACTAGAACATTAAGGAAGATATGAGCAAGGCTCACCACGGAATTTCATGGGATTTTTAGAGGCTTATCTCATGGAGATTTCTTTTCATGAATCTTTCCTTTCCTTTTTCCAATGTGCTAGTTCAATTTCAGTTCTTACAAGTTGTTGAACGGAAAACTTCATTTAAAAATGTCATATCAGATAAGATGAAACACATGGTGATTCTAAAATTTTGATTTGAGCAGCAGTTTTATTGATTTCTTTTGATGAAAATCCTCCTCATTTTTTCTTGTCCGTTGTTGTTTTTGATAGATTGTAAATTGGATTGTGGTTTGTTGAAAAATAATAAAATATGCTTTGAACATGACGCATTTGTCATCCTAGTGCTCAAATGTCAACCTTGATACCTGGCTGAGTTTGAGGCCTCCTTTTAAGTCCTTCCCCAACACAAGCGGATCAAGAAATTCAAAGATGCATTAGTAAAATGTGGTTCTGACAGATGTAGTCTTGGTCCAGCAAGAGGGTCTGGAACAGTCCGAAATATCGTCATTAGTTTCAGCTGGAGAATTGTTAAGAAGTATATTAATTGGGTAAGGAAGATAACATCATGATGGAAGGTAAAACTCACAATAACATCACAAAATTGATTTACACAACAGGGGATGCTTACGAGCTATCAAGTTCCCTTACAACACGGGATAACGTCACTAACTAGTGGTTTTTTTTTTTTTTTTTTTCATATTACGTAAGGTGTTATAAGTGCATTGCACTCAAACTAATTCGCACTGATAGGTCTTGAGGTTTCATATTATTTATGGGTATTTGTATAGTATTTTGGATTAGATTATGCACTCATATTATGTATTTTGATATTTTTGGTTTCTAGGAGTCCTTAGAGATGAGATGGAGCAAAATGTTTCATAAACACACATTTTTGGAGTATTTTGACAAGGAAGCACAAGAAGGAGCAATGACATCACATTCTCGTGTGGGCACACGAATCTCAGTCCAAAATTGAGCTTTAGAGAAGAAATTCCAGCATTGAAGCTGCATTCCCGTTTGGCCAAACCGAATAGGGACTAAAATGAAAAATTGAAAAAGTTTTGGGGTCAAAATATAATATTTCCAAATTTGAGGGACCAATATGAAAATCTCGGTAAAGTTAATTTGCTGCTGCGGATTTTTGAGAGGGCTGCTGCGGCTGACCTATATTCTGAATATAAATAGACTTTTCTTTTCATTTTGAAAGAGTGGTAGGTAGTAGAATAAAAATAGACGTAGTTTTCCACTTTTAAGGAGGTTTCAAAGGCACTTTCTTCATTTTTGGAGTCTTCCGAGTTCATAGACATCAATCGGTAATATTGTTCAATGAATTTTTCTTGTGATTCAGTTTTCATGATGAGTAGATAAATTCATTCATCTGGTTGAAGCGTATTGAAGTCTTGGTTTGAATAGTTGTGAGATTTAAATGTTGTTTCTCTCTGAATTTCTTGTGAGTAATTGCTTGTTCTACGGCATGATTGATATGATTATTGTGGATTCATGAATAGCTGGTAGCATTCGGTGCTTCTTAATAATCTAAAACCAATAAAACAACAAGGTTTGTTGTTTAAATAGGTATAATATAATTTAATTACTTGGTAAGTAATTATTTATGTTATAAGAACAAGTAATCCGGTTTAATATAAAACAAGGTTTGTTTATAGGAATTGGGATTGGGTCTATGTGTTTAATGTAGTAGTTTTCTAAATCTTTGGAGGTTCCAAGATTAGTTTTTGACTAGTATATGATTAATGAAGGTTTCTTAATCATTGAACTAAATGAAAGATTGAATTGTTTGGAGGTTCCAACAATGAAAACGAATCTACTCATAAGTTAATGATAATATCATTGCATCTATGATCAACTGTTTAAATCAAGGTGGATATACAAACCCTTCAGCTAGATATTTTCTCATTATTTGTTTGAATCATTTTAGCTATTGTTTGCAATTTGTATTGTTTGCAATTTATTTCAACAACTCAAATCCCCCTCTTTTGGTTACTTGATTTAAAAAGAGAGAAATTCACCATTTCCTGAGGAGACAACCTTACTTTCCTGTACTACATTAGTTTGGAAATAGGTTAAATTGTTTGTTGGCTTGACCCCCTATCAAAATGGCGCCGTTGCCTGGCAACGGTGATAATTGATTTGTTTCTTTTAAATTTTGTTATTTTATTTTTGTTCTAGTTTATGCCGCGCTCTATTCATACAGGTGAACTTGTCTTTGACGCAGAAATAAAGAAGACAGCTAGAGCTATCAAGGCGGCGAAGAAGCAGGAAAGGTTACTTTTAGGTTCTACATCTAAACCTACTAGAGCTTATGAAGAAGGAGAAGAAGAGGAACCTTCCATTTCTGAAGAATTTTCATCTGAATTCGAAGAAGAATCTGAAGGAGAAAAAATGGCTGAAAATTTAACTTTGAGAGAGTTGGCAACTCCAAGTGTTGATCAACAATCATTGTGCATCGTTTTGCCTGCAACTACGGTACCTTTTGAACTTAAACCTAGTATAATTCATTTATTGCCTAAGTTTCATGGTCTTGCAGGTGAAGATCCTCACAAACACTTGAAGGCATTCCAAGCAGTATGCAAAAATGTTGAAAAAGAAGGAGTTACTGAGGAGAGGGTTCAATTACAAGCCTTTCCATTTTCATTGGAGGGTGATGCAAATTGTTGGCTCTATGATTTGCCACCCAATTCTTGCACTACTTGGGGTGAGTTGAAGAGGCAGTTTTTGGAGCAATTCTTTCCAGCATCGCGTGCAGCAAACATTAGAAAAGATATCAGCGGAATCCGCCAAGGCTATAGTGAAACATTGCATGAGTATTGGAAGAGATTCAAACGTTTGTGTAACAGTTGTCCTCAACATCAGATTCCAGAGCATTTGTTGCTACAATATTTCTATGAAGGACTCTGTGAAGTGGATAGAAATAAGCTAGACTCAGCAAGTGGTGGAGCTATGATGAATAAGACGATAGCACAAGCAAATCAGCTAATTTCAACTATGGCAGAAACTTCTCAACAATTCTCCAAAAGAGAAGACACAGTCAGCACACGTGTTAATGAGGTACGTTCTTCCACTGATAAACGTTTAGATGAACTAACATCTTTGGTAAGACAACTGGCTGCAGGGCAAGTAAAACAGGTGAAGACATGTGGTTTTTGTTATATGGCGGATCATCCGATAGATATGTGCCCAACACTTCAAGATGACCACAATGAGCAGGTAAATGCAGTTGGAGGATTTACAGGTCAGTCACAACGGAGATGTGATCCTTATTCGAATACATACAATCCTGGATGGCGAGATCACCCCAATTTCAGTTATGGGAATAGACAACCAGGTTTCCAGCAGCAACCATATCAACCACCACCTACGAGACAACCATATCAACAACCTCAAGCATCTTCTTCTAAACCAGGTATGTTTTTAGAGGAAATTGTGACTACTTTGGCCACTCATACCCAAAGTTTTACACAGGAAACACGTGCTAGCATCCAGAATTTGGAGAAACAAATGTCACAGTTATCAACTACAGTGAATAGGCTGGATTCTGGGAAAGGAAAGCTTCCTGCGCAAGTAGAGATAAATCCAAAAGAAAATGCTAGTGCCATGACACTTCGTAGTGGGAAGGAGTTGCAGAGTAATTTACCTCCAATTCAAGAGTCACCAAAAACTCAAGATGAAGTTATTTTTGATCCTTTAGTGACACCAGAAAAACAGGTAAATAATGAGTTAGTCAAACCTGGGCAAAAAGTTTTAATTTCTCCACCTTTTCCTGGCAGGTTGGTTAAATCAAAGAAAGAGGAGGAAGAAAAAGAAATATATGAGACCTTTCGCAAGGTTGAAATCAACATTCCTCTCTTAGAAGCAATTGATCAAATGCCAAAGTATGCCAAGTTTTTAAAGGACCGGTGCATGAAAAAGAAAAGGCAAGAGAGTGAAGGAAAAATTGTGGCTAGCCAAATAATGCCAGTAGCAATACAAGGTGATTTCAAGTTGCCAAATAATGTCAAGTTGCCACAAAAATGTAAGGATCCGGGTGTTTTTGCTATACCTTGCATAATTGGTACAAAAAGAATTGAAAAGGCAATGCTTGATTTAGGGTCTTTAATTAATGTCATGCCATTGTCACTCTTTAGTTATTTGAATCTTGGACCCATGAAGTCAACTAATGTAGTAATTCAATTAGCTGATAGGTCTACTACACATCCGGAAGGCATGATTGAAGATGTTCTAATTAGAGCTAATGAATTAGTTTTCCTGCTGTTTTTACATTATTGACATGGGGAATGATATATCACTTGATGAAGCTGTTATTTTGCTTGGAAGATCATTTCTGAAAACAGCTAAAGCTAACATTGATGTGGAATATGGCATTGTAACTTTTCGTTTTAATGATCATGCTGCAGTGTTTAATGTTTATAATGCAATGAAATACCCAGATGATCATAAATCTGTTTTTGATGTTAGCATAATTGATGATTGTTTGCAAGAAAATGTGGAAAGAGATTTGATGCAGGATAAGTTGGGTGTGGTGCTTAGATAATTTAACAGAACATGCTTAACAAGTGGAAGGCAATGCTGAGCTTAAAGAAGCAACTATGGCGTTACATTTCGCACCTCCAGCTCCTTTCAGGTTAGCAAATGAATTTGAAAAATTGCCTACTACTTATGAGAGAATCTTTCCTTCTGTTGAACAGGCTCCTAAACTTGAGTTGAAGCCCTTGCCGGTACATCTCAAATATGTCTATTTGGGAGATGATGATACATTGCCTGTGATCATTGCCAATGATTTAACTGAGGAGCAAGAGGAATGTTTGATTCAGGTTTTGAAGGAAAACAAGACAGCAATTGGGTGGACACTAGCTGACATAAAAGGGATTAGTCCTTCTTTCTGCATGCATCGTATATTGCTTGAGCCTGAGTCCAAGCCTGTTCGTGATCCCCAACGTAAGCTAAATCCTGCAATGAAAGAAGTGGTGCTAAAAGAGATTTTGAAACTATGGGATTTAGGAATCATTTATCCTATTTCTGATAGTAAATGGGTAAGTCCTGTGCATGTAGTTCCCAAGAAAGCTGGTTTTACTTTTGTAAAAAATGATAATAATGAGTTAGTGCCCATGAGATTGCAAACTGGATGGCGGATGTGTATTGATTTTCGAAAGTTGAATGCCGCCACTAGGAAAGATCACTTTCCACTTCCTTTCATTGATCAGATGCTAGAGAGATTGGCAGGTAAGGTATTTTTCTGCTTTTTAGATGGATATTCTGGTTATCATCAGATTGTTGTAGCCCCTGAGGATCAAGATAAAACCACTTTTACTTGTCTCTTTGGCACTTTTGGATATCGTCGCATGCCTTTCGGTTTATGCAACGCACCTGGTACTTTTCAAAGATGTATGATGAGTATTTTTTCTGACTTGATTGAGAATTGCATTGAGATTTTCATGGATGATTTCACTGTGTATGGTGATTCTTTTTATCATTGTCTAAGTAACTTGTCAAAAGTTTTGAAGCGTTGTATTGAAACTAACCTTGTTCTTAATTATGAAAAATGTCATTTTATGGTTAGAGAAGGGATAGTTTTGGGACTTGTTGTTTCTAAAAGAGGAATTGAGTTAGATAAGGCTAAGGTTGATTTGATTGCTAGTTTACCATTTCCTACTAATGTGAGAGAGGTTCGTAGTTTTCTTGGGCATGTAGGTTTCTATCAAAGATTCATCAAAGATTTTTCCAAGATTGCTCAACCAATGTCTCGCTTGTTGCAAAATGATGTTACATTTGAATTTGGTAGGGAATGCAAGGAAGCATTTGAGATATTGAAGAAGCTGCTTACCTCATCACCAATCATACAACCCTCAAATTGGGAGTTGCCTTTTGAGCTTATGTGTGACGCAAGTCAATATGCCATAGGAGCATTATTGGGGCAGAGAGTTGGGAAAAATAGCCATGTCATCTATTATGCATCAAAGACATTGAATCCCGCTCAATGCAACTACACTACAACTGAAAAAGAACTTTTTGCTATTGTTTTTGCATTTGAAAAGTTCAGGTCTTATTTATTGGGCTCTAAAATTGTTGTTTATTCTGACCATGCAGCTTTGAAGTATCTCTTAGGGAAGAAAGAATCAAAACCACGGCTCAAAAGATGGGTCCTCCTCCTACAAGAGTTTGATTGGGAGATTAAAGATCGCAAAGGAGTTGACAATTCGGTTGCTGACCATTTGAGCAGATTGATTCGCGAAGAAGATCCATTACTCATTTCTGAATCTTTTCTGGATGAGCAACTTTGGGCAATGCAAGGTAAGGAACCTTGGTTTGCTGACATGGTAAATTTCTTAACTACTGGAAAATTTCCATCTGGCATGAGCACTTTTCGGAAAAATAAGCTGAAATCAAATTCTAAATATTATATATGGGATGACCCTTATCTGTGGAAAATAGGCTCTGATCAAATCATTCGTAGATGTGTTCCTGATGAAGAAATCCATTCTATTCTTACTTACTGTCATGTTTATGCATGTGGTGGCCATTTTGGTCCAAAAAGAATCCATGTTCCCGTTTTCCCATTCCAATTTTATATTTATTTTATTTATTTATTTTTTTTAATTTTTTTTAATTATATTATTTTTTGCAAAAAAAAAAAAAGGTGAGTGCAATTTTTAAAGCCTCGTGTTCATGGACTCTAGTCCACTTTGAACTCTAATTTCTATAATATATATATATATATATAGATATATATTTTCTAAAAAAAAAAACCCCCCAAAAAAAAGAGCTCAAAGCAACTTCCATTTTTTTAGTTAGAACTCTACTTCTCTGCAACTTCCATTTTTTTAGTTTCACACGTTTTTTTGGGGCATTTATTTATTTTAATTCTTTTTATTTTATTTTCTTTTTCAAAAAAAATAAATAAAAAAAGGTGCGTGCACTTTTGAAAAAAAAAAATCTGAACACATACCCATGTTCACGGTTTACACTCCAATTTGAACTCTAATTTCCCCCCAAAAAAAAAGAAAAAACGAAAAAAAAAAGAATAAATTCATTCAAAAAAAGGGGGGGGGGGGTTCACGCATCCTTTTTCACTTTGGACTCCAACTCTCTGCAATTTCCAAATTTTTTTACTTTGCAAACGTTTTTTTTTCATTCTTATTTTGTAAAAAGAAAAAAAGAAAAAAAGAAAAAAAGGAAGAAGACTATTAACGGTGCCCTAATGTACTTTGGTCTCCATTGCAACAATGATCATCATATAATTTTTTTTTTTTTTCACTTTCTCTCTTTTCCCTTTGGTACAGGCAGCGTAAAGACCTTCGACATTCGGACGTCAACATCCTTCCTCCCGTCGGTGACCACAATCTACAAATGTAAAGAAGTTTCTTGTCTTTGTTGGCAACAATCATTGCTTCCGGTGGTAGCTGTCATCTCAATCCTAGTTTGGAAAGTGTCGCACATCATGGGGAAACAATCTCAAGCTGTACCAGTTCGAAAGAATTCTGTCCGAGCAGCCGCTGCAAAAATTCAAAAGAAAGCTCAAGTGGCCAAGGCAAATAAGTCTTCTCGTCCTTCAAAGCCTCAATTGAAGACCGCACCAAAGCTTTTGCCAAAGTCAGAACTTGGCCCTCGCTTTCAATCCCGCCACAAGGGTGGTCGAGGTGTGCTTCCACCTTCTACTGCTGCAATGGGAGGTGCATTAAAATTCTCTGTCAAAGCTCACGAAGACAGGTATGATGATTGCAAGACACACAAATTCTTTCCAGGTAAATTCTTCCATAAAGAATCAATGTGCACATTGGGTATATATGATGAAATTGTTCAGTTATTTCATGCCATTGGTTGGGATTTTTATTTAGAGTTGGGGGGTCCTGTTTTTATTGAACTAGTTCGGGAATTTTATGCTACTTTTGAGTTCACACATGATGAGAATACTACCTTGGATACCCCTAAAGTAATAAAATTTCGTTTGTTGAATCAATGGTTTAATTTATCCTTAACTGAATTTAATATTGCTTTGGGTTGTATCCCCGAGGATGAGTCTAAGTCAAAAATTTATTTGGAGTCTGTGTGTGATTATGTGGAGCCTTTCAAATCTGAATTTTTGAATATTTGGTTGCAAATGTCACATGATAAGCATCCTTTTCAACCATCACGTTCAAAATCCTATTTCTTTACAAATCATACCCACATGATCATCCAACGCGTTTTAGCTTATAGTTTCTCTGGCCGTGGAGATGGTGCTGCTGTATATACCAAACCTGAGTTTTATTTTATATGGTGTATGGCTAATGCAAGGCGTGTTAATTTTGGTTATTGGATTGCAACGCAATTTCATGGAGTTTTGAAAATTCATAATTTGAATGAAGAGTGTTCCATGGAACCTTTAGATTTGGTTTGCTTGCAACGTATGAAATTGGTGCATTTTTACAAAGGACAATATGTGTTTAATGTTCCTTGGGTAACACTACCTTTGGAAAAAGCTGTTGCGTCCTCTGCAGGCAATCTTCAGGAGAATTCCAATGATACACCTAATACCAAATATGCCATGGTCCTCATTCATCAGCTCCAAGAACAACTTGTGACCATTGGTGCACACGTGGACAAGTTAGAAGAGGAAAACCGCCAACTTAAGCTTAGTTATGCAGAGTTGATCCATGGAAATCTACATCTGGTGCCGCCTGGTTCTAATTCTAATACTTCCACTCAACCCACATCTCCTCTTCCATAGAAATTGATTCAGGGAAGTTATATTCCATTTTTAGTTTATTTATTTATTTATTTTATTTTCTTGTTTCTTTTCCAGTCTATGATTTCTTTTATTTTATAAATAATGTGCCTTTTCTTTCTTTGAATTTGCATATGTTTCATTCATTGAGGACAATGTATGTTTTAGGCGTGGCGGAAAGGATTTTGTGTTGTGTCTCTCAAAGAAAAAAAAAATATTTTGTGTTGTGTTTGTCTAAAAAAAAAAAAAAGGAAAAGGAGAGAATTGTCAATAGTCGATGATGAATTCAATTTTGAGGGTTACATATGATTATAAAAATACCTGTTCAGGATCACTCTTAAGCATGTTAGAAACTCATGACCACATCTTCATGCACAACATTCCACTTAACAATGTGTTTGCTTTGGGCTTAAACTTTTAAAATCTTGAATGCATTAATGCATTGTTGTGATCTTATACTGGAGTCCACTTGTCTGAAACCTGGGGGGACTGTGAATCTGGGAATTAGACTAAGGCAACCCTACGCATTATGGCAGCCTCGAATCGAGCCCATAGTGGTTTGTATTAGCCTAAATACCTTGGAAAAAAGGGGAAAGTTGGCGGTTGAATATGAGGTTAAAAGCTTTATCTAATGAGGGAGTATAGGCAGAATGTCCAATGTGGCATTTAATCCCTTGAGAGGTGAGGTATGGCACCAAAGAGAGGAGTGTCCTCAGGCCTGGTAAGTTTAAATAGAAAATGCTTAGATTACCATAGTTGCTGAAATATGTGCTTGGTATAGGCCTGAGTGGGAAAGATCTAGAAGAAAAGCCAATTTGGACAAATGGATGAAAAGGTACGAGGGTGAAAGATGCAGCCAATGATGCTTGCAGAAAATGAGAGGAAACCCTTAGATCGGAACCTCAGTAAGAATACCCTAGTTGAAGGCAAGAAGGAAATAGGTACTGATCACAAGAATGTCCACTTGAAAGTAATTGAATCTTATCTTAGGTTAAGCAACACTTTGTTTTGTGGTCTGTTTCACACACTCACGGAAGTGAGTTTCTGACTTGATTAAAGGGTACTGAACTGTGGTGTACATCATTTGTCTCTAATGAGACTAGAATCTGAGACAAGTTATGACAATTCTCTTTGTTGTTTTGCATGTTAGAGTCAGTTGGAAAGGGTATTATCATGTTTACTTTGAGTTGTGTTTGCTTGAGGACAAGCAAAAATCTAAGTGTGGGGGAATTTGATAGGTCTTGAGGTTTCATATTATTTATGGGTATTTGTATAGTATTTTGGATTAGATTATGCACTTATATTATGTGTTTTGATGTTTTTGATTCCTAGGAGTCCTTAGAGATGAGATGGAGCAAAATGTTTTATAAACACACATTTTTGGAGCATTTTGACAAGGAAGCACAAGAAGGAGCAATGACATCACATTCTCGTGTGGGCACACGAATCTCAGTCCAAAATTGAGCTTTAGAGAAGAAATTCCAGCATTGAAGCTGCATTCCCGTTTGGCCAAACCAAATAGGGACTAAAATGAAAAATTGAAAAAGTTTTGGGATCAAAATATAATATTTCTAAATTTGAGGGACCAATATGAAAATCTCGATAAAGTTAATTTGCTGCTGCGGATTTTTGAGAGGGCTGCTGCGGCTGACCTATATTCTGAATATAAATAGACTTTTCTTTTCATTTTGAAAGAGTGGTAGGTAGTAGAATAAAAATAGACGTAGTTTTCCACTTTTAAGGAGCTTTCAAAGGCACTTTCTTCATTTTTGGAGTCTTACGAGTTCATAGACATCAATCGGTAATATTGTTCAATGAATTTTTCTTGTGATTCAGTTTCTATGATGAGTAGCTAAATTCATTCATCTGGTTGAAGCGTATTGAAGTCTTGGTTTGAATAGTTGTGAGATCTAAATGTTGTTTCTCTCTGAATTTCTTGTGAGTAATTGCTTGTTCTATGGCATGATTGATATGATTATTGTGGATTCATGAATAGCTGGTAGCATTCGGTGCTTCTTAATAATCTAAAACCAATAAAACAACAAGGTTTGTTGTTTAAATAGGTATAATATAATTTAATTACTTGGTAAGTAATTATTTATGTTATAAGAACAAGTAATCCGGTTTAATATAAAACAAGGTTTGTTTATAGGAATTGGGATTGGGTCTATGTGTTTGATGTAGTAGTTTTCTAAATCTTTGGAGGTTCCAAGATTAGTTCTCGACTAGTATATGATTAATGAAGGTTTCTTAATCATTGAACTAAATGAAAGATTGAATTGTTTAGAGGTTCCAACAATGAAAACGAATCTACTCATAAGTTAATGATAATATCATTGCATCTATGATCAACTGTTTAAATCAAGGTGGATATACAAACCCTTCAGCTAGATATTTTCTCATTATTTGTTTGAATCATTTTAGCTATTGTTTGCAATTTGTATTGTTTGTAATTTATTTCAACAACTCAAAACCCCCCCCCCCCTCGGTTACTTGATTTAAAAGAGAGAAATTCACCATTCCCTAAGGAGACAACCTTACTTTCCTGTACTACATTAGTTTGGAAATAGTTTAAATTGTTTGTTGGCTTGACCCCCTATCACGCACCGAGTCGGGTCGGCCTTCTTTCAGAGGGAAAACTCTCCCAACATTGCTCTTTGCTTCTTTTCATTCACGAGACTCGAACCCGAGACTTCGCTTAAGGGAACCAAAATACCTTACCACTTTGGCCAATCAAGTGTTGGTCTAACTAGTGGTGTTTGAGATGCTACAAGTGCATTGTTATTTTCTTATTGGGCGAACTACATTGTACCCCCCGAGTTTTGGCCCAGTCTACCATAAACTCCTCGAGTTTTGATAATACTACTATATACCCCCTGAATAGGGAGTTAAACATTGAAATGACTAAAATGACCGTTGTTTACTTACATTTCATGTCCTTTTGTTTTTATCATTTTCGTTTTCTTCACCTTTTGACTACTAAAAATGAAAATTATTTAAATGTATCATTTTACATTTAATTATAACATAAGATAATAAATAAAAATTAATCCATGATTAATCATATAAATTTATCATACTTCATAAAAAAATTAACTAATGAAGATTTTTAATTCCAGAACATGATATAGTTAATTTTAAAAATTTATAATTATGTGTGTTAACATTAAAAAAATTAATGGGGAGTATTTTTGAACTTAATTAAAAATTTATTTTATAAAAATATTTAAATTGTATAATTTTAAAAATTATAGACCGAAGGGCATTTTTGACCATTTACACAAATTAATGATTATGTTAATATGATAAGGGGGTGTTGGGTGAGGAGCTGGTGGAGGGCATGTTTGGGTTCGGAGTTTGGGCCGCTGATTCGCTTGTAGATGACTTCTTGGCCCATGTCCTGTCCCGGTTAGTCGGGTCAGATTTTCGCTTGGTGGACTTAGTGGTCGAGTCGTCCGTCTTCTTCTGTCCAATTTTATACTTGTTCTTCCTGGTGGTTTACGGACGAAATCCTGTGGAGAAAATATATGGTTGGTCTAAATTAGGACTAGTAGAAGATGTACCTGCATTTATAGGTTGTGGATCTGCTTCGTCCTCCTCCATCGTAGCCAAAGTGGCGAAGGGGTTCTTTTGCCGGCGCTACTCTCCTTGTGTTTTGCCCTGATTATTACGCCGGCTGGTGTTTGTTGGTTGAGATTGTACGCGAAGGAAGTTGAAAACTTCCCTGAATTTGTCAGCCTCCACACAGGCCTGTCCTCCCCCATTTTGTGGTTTGGGGGTGGGATGGCTCGAATTTTATCGATCACAGCCTAGGGAAGCAGGGGATGCAGAACAGTCCAATCCCAATGACCATCATCATTTACGAAATCTGCCACCTTCCTACGTCTTAAATGCATAGGGATCCTCACAGATGTTTGGCAGAGTAGAGAGATGTGAGAGTTATCTACCCAAATGTTATGCCAGAAACAAGTCCTTTCTCCATTGCCAATTAACCACCTAATCCCTTTCAATTCTTTGCTCCAATTCTTGGCAAGATTCCGCCACAAATGAGAAGCATTGTTGGTGTTCAGTTCCCCAGGCAGACCACCCGGACTCATGTTGTACTTAGCTTTCAGCACTTGTTTCCAGAAA